ATGTTAAGCACATGCTTAAGCAGTTTTCTTACGTAAAGATACATTCCTGAATCAGACTGTTAGTCTAGATTAATGCTGGCCAGCTACAGATGAACTTGTCTGAGTCATCCCCCGGAGACATCAGGTCTCCTAAAATAGCAACAATAACAGAATCCATAGAAAGGCTTGAATATTTCGACTGAAAGCTATAATCACAACGCTTTACATAAGTGTGGTGAACACGCCACCCTCCCCAGACTGAAATAAGGATTTGCTTCAGGCCAGGGCACTTTTGCATTTCAGTCTCACATGCTGGGAAGCACAGCCCTGCTGATGCTGCTGACATTGCCTGATGCAACACAGCAACAAACTGCCTGGGTTTTTTTTTCCTTCCCTTGCAATTTTAATACATGAAGCTACTTGAGGAAAAGTCCAGGGATACTGGAATCAATCAATGTTGTCGGAAAAGTGGTGGCAACAGCTGGCGCCTCAGAGTTTTGCATGGGGAAAGGCAACAAAACCCACTCAAGACCACGGAGGCTGCCTGTAGACCAGCAGCAGCCTTGAGATAAGCAGAGGAAAACTTGAAGAATGACAGGGGCCATTTTCCCAGAGGTCCATTGCAGGTTGGAATATAGGCATTCTCCTTCACATCCCTTCTTGCTGAGTGATACAGACAGAGACAGAGAAGGGCCAATATCCTGGAGCAATAGCACTGGAGTCAGGAGAATCATGAGGAAGCAGCCTGGCACGTGCTATTATGCTGGATTGGGGTCCTGCCACCTCTCCATAGGGAAACAAGGGACAGATGAGGATTGTTAGGAGCTTGAGGGCACCAACAGGCTTTAATTGCCCCAATCAGCCTCACCTGGGACCTCCACCCATGATCCATTTCTCCAGGAGCTCCATTTAAGCTGAGGCCTGGGCAGCTACTTCTTTCCTTATCTTTCCTGTAGATGCATCTGCTCTTAGGCTTTCCCAGATTGATCTTGGACTTATTTTGGTGCCTTGCTTTTGCCTGGTGACACCTGAACTGTTAATGGGCCCTAGTGCTGCTACTGCTATGCTCTGCTTGCCTGGCTGTGGGGCTGTGCCCAGTTGGTACGGTTGTTGCCTGGACCATGTTGTGACCATCCTAGGTCCTGCCCCACCTTCCCTTAGGTGGATGGGTGGTCTTTGCTGCTCTATAGGGTTGTGGAAGAAGGATGCGGCACTGTGTAGGTGTTAAGCTCATGGCAATACTAGCTGGCTTTCTCTGACCCCATTCCTGATGGAGCCCAGCTCCCTCATCTATGTGATCCTTAGCCCCCTCCCTGCCTTCCCCCACCTGAGGTTCCCCTATCCGTTTTCACTAATCTTGTGAAATTCCCACAATCCCATTTAGATCCAAACCTAACTGTGATCCCTTCCTGCTGCCCAGCATCCCCATGACTTCTCTGCCTCCATGACACCCCCAAAACCTTCACTGGTACCTCACAGGCTCCCTCGCCCCTGGTGAGCGCCTTTTTCCATCCCTCTGAAACCTTCCTTCTCAGCTACACTGAAACTCCCCCATGACTTCCCAGCTCTTCTCCTTTCACCATCAGTCCCCAGCTTTGTGCTGGTGCTTTTGTAACCTTTGACAGCAAGCTCCTTGAGGGTTTTTCTGCAAAATGCTTTTTTCCTGTTGCCCTGGCTCTGCCTGTTCTGCTCACCTGAGGGACAATCCCTTAAATTCCCTACCAGACCTTTCCACGGTTATGTCCTGCTCACACAAAGTGTTTTTTCATTTTGAGCTAGTATGATGGGGCCACCTGCCTTGTTGTGCTTTCTCCCACGGCATTTATTTAATTGCCTGCTTGCTCCCCATGCCTGTGGCTTGTCACCTAGCACTCCTGATAGCTTGGAGTTTTCTGGTGGCTTCACTGCTTGCTTGGGAGGGCTGGGACAACAATTTTTAATAATTTGATGGAGTTGGGCTGGCAATTAGATGGGATTGAGTGTCCTTATTTGTCTTGGGGATTGCTGAGGAATGCAGAGCTGGGAGGGAGGAGGCAAAATAAAGAGTTAATCTGAGGTTGAGGGTTTCCTTGCAAAAGTCAAACCCTGCATGGAAAGCATCCCTGCAACACTTCACCTTGAGGCTCCACCATGGGATAATGCCTTTTTTTTTTTTTTTTTTTAGGACCCCAACCATTTTTTCACCCCCCACCTTTATAATATCGGTGGAAACCTGTGC